GTCAGTGTGATTGCATGACACTGGTGATGGGGATGCCATACAGATTCATGTCAAAAATACCGAACTATCCCTTTAAAGAACATATAAAATATAATTTTCCTGAGCATTGTATTTATGAAAATATTTAAAAACTACGTTTACCAGATAATACAGAATGCGAGTACTCATTTATGCCAGCAGGGGTGTGTTTCGCTTTGTTTTTTTATTAAAGAAACACTAATCTACCAAAAAATGCTATTTTCACCAGGTGATATAATTTCAAAAATAGAAAAAAAGGTTTATTTATCTGCAATAAAAGACAGTTTTGAAAAAATTGACCATTTTTTATTTTATTTAACACGTTTCTCCTGTGTGGCACGAGTAGACAGCTGTGTTTTTGAATGATCAATCTTAGACTTAATCAAACTTTATTGTCATTTTATATGCACAGGGTATGTATTTTGTATGTATACAAAACAAAATTATTTCCTTATAGCTTACAACAGTGTAATAATATTACATTTGGAAATATCTCTCCTTAGGGGCTTCATAAGTCTGTATTTGGACCTTAGTATCTAAGATTTTAAGACACAGATTTTTAGATTTTTCTTTTTAGTAATCATACCATCCAAATGTACATACTGCAAAAAATATACCGGTAGTTCTGATGGGTTACATTACCCCACAAAGGGATGCATTGTACCTTTAAGAAATTACTCTGAGTAAACAGGTCACATTTTTGAGCTTTTAGATGCCACTTCTGGCTTTCCAAACATTCATGTTACAGTTGAAATGACAGGTTTCTTACTTGTAAAATAAGTCTTTTGATTTATTTACAGGTTCATCTGTTAAGCTAAACTAAAACTTACAGGTTATTTGCTTTTAGCAGTCAATTTTTTTTCCTAAACCTACAAGCTAATGATCAGACTTTCACACAAGTTGAAATATCTCGTCAAGTAATCTGTAAACTACTTGAAAATCCTTTAAAGCAACCAATAACTGAGATATGTATAAAATGTAGCTACCAAGATTTGGAACAACAGCAGCATTCTTCTGACTTAAAAAAACGGGTTAGTCCTTTCAATGTGTTTTTTTTTTATGTCAGTTAAATGTAATGCTTTTAGGTAAAGTTATAATAGTTACGTAAAAAAACACACACACATTTTTGTTATGTTTCCTGTGCTCTGGACTTACCTGCTGTCCTTTTCAGGGATCTCTTTGATGGCGATCCGGACCTGGTTGCTCAGGTCCCTGCCAGCATACACCACTCCATAAGTGCCTCGGCCCAGCACCACCCTGTCTCCGTTTTCATCAGTGTCATACTCATACTGGGACACAGAAATATACACACAGTGTATTCTTGCATCAAAATAAAAATATTTTATAACACAAGTATGTAGAAATAAATACCGACCTCCAGCGTGTCTCCATCACCCTCTCCTTCCAGCTCCACAGCATTCCCTGTACCATCAGATATCATCTCCTTCACCAAGGAGCAGAACCTGATGCACCCCCCCACAAATAAACATCAAAGTCGTTATTTTGGGGATTTAGATGTCAGATTACAACAAAAAACACAAAACTAAGCAAAACTTTTAACTCATATGTCATTCTTTTACTGTCATGCGTTCCAGCAGCCAGACTTTCTTGTAAGTCTTAAAATGATCTAGGATTTTAAAGCCAGTCCCAATAAAATAAATTAAGAAAATAGAAAACTATATAGCTTGAACAAGCTGACTACATGAAATAAACTAAAAAAAATATGTAACAATATGTAAATTTCACACTATGCTACAAAACATAATGAGACAAAATGTCTAAGAAGAAACCATAACGTCCAGAAAAAATGTTTAAACCATTGTAAGGGCTTACAGAGAGTCTGGCTAAGAACCAAGGGACTGGTTTAAACCACATGCTCTGTGAACACAAACACCTACACAGACACATCTAGAGGTGTGTGTCCTCACCGACCGCACTGCTCCTCGGTAGAGAAATAGATCTGGAAGTCGTCAGAGTTGTCATGGACATAGAGAAAGCAGCAACGTTCATCAAACTTGCTAATACTGCAGACAGAGTGAAAAAATTATGTAATTTAAGTATCACAGTTGAAAATACATTGCTGCCTTTTGTGTATGCAAAACCAGGATCACAAGTAAAAGCACAGAGGAGGTTATGAATCTCCTAATTAATGTCAGTGCCTTGATACCAGTTTGTGGAACTTAACTTGGAGGTAGCGGGATGAGAGGGGATGGCATCATCCTTCTTAAAAAAAAATCTTAAAAATCATCCCCCCGTTAAATGACCAACCCCCATACCATTCCCTGTGACATTTTATTACTGAATGTGTAAAATTTCAACTATATATTCAAAGTAATTGCAATAATATTGCCCTTAAAACATTTGGCAGTCTGTGGGCTTACGAGTATCCTGAGCAAAATCAATAAACTCAAGGAAGTGTCCTACCATGACTATGAAGCTGATTACAGTGGGAAATCTGTCCTCTGCATTTATCCCTTACTATTTAGGGGAAGTGATATCCATGCCAGTCCAGGGATTGACTGCAGTTTTACTGTAAGGTGCTTTGGTGAAGGTCAATGATCGGCATACCCCACATGTAACAACCATACCATGCATATTGCTTTAGGTTAACAGACTATATTTGTTAGGCTGTCTATGCTTAAAAAAAAAAGAAGAAAATTCCACCATCTCCCTTCTTTTTTTTTCACAACTAGACTACTGGGTAGGGACACTAAGTTACCATTAATAATCAATGATCACATTAATCACGTTGGTCTAAATCTAGTCCTTCCTTCCTTTGCTATAATTATGGGCTCTGTTTTGCATATGCAGAGGGACAGTATGTCGTATGGCAAGCTGGCCATAAAGGTGATTCAACTTAGATTTCCAGGTAGTTAAGGAAAGGTCATGTTGGAAATTATTCATACCCCTGCAGGATGCATGTGTTAAATCTTATAGGTTACTTAAAATGCACTAACATAATACACTCCTAAACTTAGACTTTACACAACAGAGTTTTCATCAACTATCAGCTGGTTGTCCAAAAGGTTCAGATTTTTTTTTTTTTTTTTAGAAACTTTAGATTCCTATCTTGAACTTAAAGCTTAAATTTCAAAACCTGCAGGTTATTTTTGCAAGAGGGAAATTTGTTCTTTAATGACATTATTTGAAGTGCCCTGTATGTTTTTTGAAAGTTTAAAAGGAACCAGGGGACTGGTGGCTAGAGAGGAGTGCACTGAAATCCAGGAAAGGCTGCTACATCACTAAACACTCTCACTCTGGGTCCCCCAACGAGACCCCTTTACTTTAAAATGGTGCTGCACACTATTCACTGCTCCACAAGAAACAGATGTTAATGTAATGTGAACTTGCAGTGACAAAGAAAGGTGAACCTGAAAGTTCAATAAAAGTCATCTGTGATAGACTCTGAAGATGTAACTTCAGAAATCTAAATGATACATTCTGAAAAGAAAGCTTTAAACTATGAAAGTAATTAGTTTCAGGAAGACAGAAAGGTACTGGCTTCATAGTGGTTATATTGCAAAAATGTGCTCTAGCTAACATTACAATACTAACCCAAATAAATTTGAATGTCTGTGTGATTGTTTCCATATCTGACGAGTTTCAAAGATGTAACATTTTGTTATTTTAATTATTCATACAGCAGCAGAAAGTTTATCATGAGTAATCCTCAGATTCCCTGAATCTCTAAAAAAAATATAATGGAAGTTTAAAAAATTAAAAAACAGCCAGACTTATTCTGTGTATGATTTAAGCAGAGGTGGAAAGTAATGAATTACATTTACTCAAGTTACTGTAATTGAGTACTTTTTATGAGTAATTTGTAATTTTCTGATAGCTTTTGAAATATGTAATTTTAACTTTTACTGGAGTAAATTTTAACCTAAGTAGTTTTACTTTGCTACATTTAAAACCGACTCACGTTACGGAGTAAAAAAAATAAATAAAAAATACTGATGGTGAAAAAATGAAATGTGGCCCTGCCTTGCAATTACCCTTTTTATTATCTAATAATCCAGTGCTGCGCTTCGGAAGATGGCAGTTGCTAATCACAACTTAGGGAGTATGTATGAGGAAAGGCCTGAAGAGGAAACATATTCTGGAGACGAAAGCCAGAAAAACCCTTGGCCATATTTGGACGGATTATCTGTTTTCAAATGCACAAAAGGGAACAATGTGATAATGCAGTGCAACATGTGCCTGCCCAGCAAAACGGGCAACATCCAATTTACCAAAAAAATGGCGGTAAGTTAGTTATCATGGTGTTGTCTGTTGGACAGTAGGATTGAAAATTGTTTGCACTTTATGGTACAGGTTGTGACTGTCCTTGTGCTGTGAGGAAGCATGTTCCTTAGCCCAGCTGATCTTTTGCAAGTGTGGATGTCCACTGAAATACGCCTTAAAATCGATTAAAACACCTTGTGTTTAATTTGATCCATGACTCATCCTTTTTTTGCATTAAATAACTCAAAGTAACTAAGTAACTTTTACTCAAATTACATTTTAAATGAAGTATTTTTGTACTTTTACTTGAGTAAATTTTGAGATGGGTAATTTTACTTTTACTCTAAGTAGAATTTAGGCAAAGTAAAGATACTTTTACTCAATTACAATTTTTTAGTACTCTTTCCACCTCTGGAATTAAGTAATCTTGAACTGTTTATACATACCTAATGCCTTTAATGGAGATTGCAGTGAAGTTCCACTCATGGATTCCCTTCTGTGGAGTTTAAAATATATTATTTACCACAACATTTATACTGAGATCAAAGAGTAATTTAGAGTCGGTTATTTCTCAAAGTAGCTGAAATAAACAAACAGCTTAGTACATGACAATCTAGCTAAAATAACTGATGAAGACTCCAGTATATGTATAAAATGATTATGCAAATTAGAGCTGGTGATGAACTAAAGTTACAATAGTGAAATAAAGTTAATTCTTACACTTTCAGGAGGAGAAACATGCCAGATGGAAACATGCTTTTCTTCAGCTTCATTGTTTATAGACACATAAGAAGGCTGGTAAATTTTAGTTGGCTCCAGAATCAAAACCTGCAAATAAAAAAAATTACAAACAATATTAGCATCTAAATTTTAAGGTACACAGTTGATTAGTAATGTGTAATTGTTTGTACTGGAAATCGAAGTCTCTTGGTGGTGCCTTGTGTGGCCTCCACAATGATATCCATCCAAAAGTCGAGCCTTTCTCTTTGGGGAGAATGCTCCACCGCCTGCTTTTTAAACCTCTGGATCAGCTGGAGGTTCTGCACCACTGACCGCAAATACCTGAAAGGAAATGTGCATTAAATTAATCAAAATTATCAAGGCCAGTGAGCATTAACAATCGCCTCTAAATGCATGCCATTATCCTCAAAATGTTGATGATTGGAGCTTTCATTTGGCACTCAAAGTATCTGTTACAACTCTAGAATTTAAATGTTTCATACAAAAAACACTAGGATAGATTAGGAAAGAATGATTTCTTTGAGGTTGGAATATTCTGTTATGTCAAGATAATCATGTCAATGTGATTTCCTTTTTTCTGAGGAAAAAAAAAGGTTTTGTGAAAAAATACACTTTTTTTGCATCACCAGTTATGTGATCATATTCCAGATTGTACTAACAGTGAAAAAAAGACAAAAATATGACAGGAGATAGTATGAGAATGATTTAACAGCATTTTTAATGGTTTATCATGTGAAAAAACTAATTTTAATTCCAATTCCTGTCTCATATTTTCTTTTGAAACAACAGTGTTAGTGTTTACCTAACCATGTTTGTGCTTACTAAACTATTAAATTGAAAAATAAATAAAATGTTTTTTCTGTAATATGAGACTCTACCATAGCGGTGGCTTCAGTTTGAACAGCTTCTCAGCAGCTTGAGTAGCTTTAGGAATATCGCTAGCTAGCATGCTAACGGTGAAGAACTGGCCCACATCCCAGTAATTGTTCATTTTCTCCAGAGAACCTTTCCGGCCCAGCAGACTGTTCAATCTCACACCTAAAGAGAGAAGTAAACAGTTAATATAACCAACTGTTCTCTATTAAAAGACACAACTTCAACATTCTCATCTTATCCAAAAAGATTTTATCTCGAGCACTTTAGCAGTAACCTCTCAATTTATAAAACATACAAACAAATAAAACCCTTAGTTCATCAGTTTAAGTTTTTAAGGCCGAATTTGTAATATTTGTAATAATATGCAATATTTTTGATAAATTCAACATTAATATCCATCGCTATGCAGATGACACCCAGCTCTACTTATAAGGTGGAAATTCTGTGCTGCCAACCTCTTCCTTCACCTCGTTTGTCCAAAATAAAATTTTACTTCCCCTTTAAATTTCTAAAACTGAGCTCTGTCTTGCAGAAATAAATTGGTATTATCCAAAATATTGGTTTTCTTATTGTCAGTTTCACAGCTTCATTCGCATCTCAGCTTAAGACCCTGGATGCCTTTTATGTCTCACATTAAACTATTACTCAGACTATATTTTTTTAGCTGTGAAAAATTAATGGTCTTTACCCCCTTCTTTTCCCTTACTTTGATTGAGTTTTTGTCCACAGCCTCATAATTCCCCATACTAACTATTGCAACTTGTTTAGGTCTCCCTAACAAAGTCCCCACATAAGCTCCAAATGGTCCAGAAATCATCTTTTTAACTCACTGTTTGTTATTTTTCACCAGCAATATTGGGGGTAGAGTTTTGAACTGTCTCTCACCAGATGAGTTAAATTAAATTGACACTTTTCCTCTGACATTTAAATCCATCAAAGTCTGGTCAGGTTGATTTCTAATCACAAGTCTCATACCACTCGTGTGCTCTGCCCTTAAGCTGGAATAGAAGAACAATATTCTAATGCCTTTTTTTCCCCCAAACAAAAAAAATAAATAAGAAAAGGTTTTAACTATAAAGGGTTTTTGACACTATGAACATAGAACTAGATGCAAAGTATTTTCACCCATTTTAAAAGTTCAACTAATGTTTTAATATGTATAAATATATTCAAAATACAAAGGATTTATTGCAAAGAAGGGAAAATAAATTAGTGCTGATTTGATACCCTAAAAAACGTTAGTTGGAATACCCAACACCTTTTCAGGATATTTATTCATGCTCCAGCAGATTCAGCAGCTGTTTCTTCCCCCTTTGCCATCAGACTGCTGAACTGTTGAAAAAACCCTAAACACACACAGACTCTGCATCACACTGATAACACCAAACCACAAATACTGAATATTTGCACCTTATAAGTGAATGCTCTGAACTTTCATATCAATGCATTTTTTGCACCATATTCTTTCTCCCACACTGTTTACATTTGATCGCTGCTGCACTTTATGGAATGAAAATGTTCATTTACTTTCTGGAAAGCTGTAAAAAGCCAAATTATATTTTGTATACCGTACATTCTCTGTATAAAAAATGATAATAAAAGTTGTCCAAGTCTAATTCTTTTAAAGATTTTGTTTTGTTCTCCTGTTTTCATTCTAGATATGAGGGGGCTTTAGATGACTTTTCTACTTTGTTTTAAACCAGTTACTATTCATTTTATTATCATAAACTTATTTTTCTTTAACCTGTTATTCTAACAATACTGTACAAAAAAAGTAACCGAACCAGTGAGATTGAGAAGAAGCAAAATAACCAATAAGACAACAAATAAACCTTTTTTATATGCAAGAAAATGTTGTCAAGACAAATAATCTTAAAAACAAACATTCTTGTTGAAAATGAAGACGCATTCTGACTCTAGGAAAGAAACCAAGGAGTTTTCATTTCACCTATTTTCCTCAGTTCAATGGAGCTCTCAAACTGCTGACCAGCAACTATGAGGAGGACCGCTAGATTAATGCCAGAGTAGAGAGTCGGCTGCAGTTCAAAGCCCTTTCTATACCTGTAGGTAATACCGAATAAAAGATAAATTATTTGTGTGAAATATTTGATGAAGAAAATAACCATTTTAATTGAGTCTGTTCTCACCATTGTATGGCTTTATCTCTATTTACTGTGTCCTTGCAGTCCGAATCAAGGAAGATGTCCTTATAGATCCGTCCACAGAGGCAGAACATGTCTGGAGCAGGATGTTCACTGGTCTGTAGCACCTGGAGCATCACCCTGAGAGCCTGCTCCCGGTCTCCAGGACTGTTCCTCCTGCATACATTCAAATGCTTAAATGCGAAAGGCAGATAACTCATTTGAGGTAGGTCCAAAAAAAGCAATGGTACTTTCACTGAATCTACATGACACTGATCTTCATTACAGCAATGGTTGATCGGATAACAGTCATTTAAGAGTGTTTTTATGTTCCTGATATTCCACTTCCCAGGCCCTTCTCTAGGAAGGTAGGTTCTGTGAGCAGATTGATGGATGGATGGATGGATGCACTACACTTTCAAATAATATCAAGAACTTTGTTTTAGATATCCTTAAAAATAGGAATAAAACAACACAACAGAGTTATCCTCAGTTTTCTCTCCCACAGGGAGATTTAACAGTCAGAAGCCAGTCATGAAATGAAAAATATATGCAGAAATGCTGAAATATATTATATATAAAAGGATGAAACGAATTGGGATTTTTTTTTTGTATCTCATCTTCTCCAGACAGTGTGAGAACTCTGTATTGTTCTCTCTCTCAATATGATTTTTTTGGTGCAAAAATTCTTATGCTACAACATAATAGTGCAAAATAACCTAAATTAGGGTGAGATCTCCTTTAAAAAATGGTTTTAACAAGTAATCACAAAAATGTGTGCTTTGTTTACCTGTTGAGAGCAAAGGCGTAGTGAAACTGGATCATGGGCTGGGTAGCCAGATCACAAGTAGGCAGAGTCTCTAGAGTCTCCACAAGCTTAACCATAGCATCATAATCCTGTTTGATTGATTTGAGACACACAACACAGGTTGAATCAATTTCCATAAAAAGATGATAAAATAATTATTTCTCACAGAGCTTCTGAAGGTACTCCACTTATCGCGGCCTGTACCTGAATGTCTCTGTAGGAAAACAGCAGGTTCATGACGATATCCTGCGTTAGGACCTCTGTGTTGTCCATCCTGAGTTTAATACGGGCCAACTCCTTGGCCAGCTCCTCTCCCTGATATTTCTCCCTGGCCTTCCTTATGTCATTCAGCAAAGTGTCCTTAAAAGATGCACTGCAAAAGATGATGAAATGGATTAAAGTGGGAAAAAGTTGAAAATTAATTAAGTATATAACTTTTATGTAAATGATGACAGAGCCTATCACAATAGTACAATTAATATAGTTTCTGCTTTGAATATTAATCTCTGGACAAAAACACAGAAAATCCTTAAAAGTTAGGTTAATCCAATAGGAGGCAATAATATCAAACTTGAACATGTCGGAATGAAAATATCATGACTCGTTTACATTACATTATTTATAGTCCCCAATAGGCAAATATAGGATTTAATTATGCCTAAAGAACTCTGTGGGTATTAATATGTTATAAAAATGATGTTTTCACCCAACTCTGATCAAAAACGAAGGACTTCAAAAGGAGACTGCCTTTCCCAGTTAGACATTAGCTTAAAAAGACAGGTTTCTGATCTTTTTTCTGTGCTGGAGCAGGAAAAAAATCATGCTTCTCCTTACATTACCCCTCCCTGGGGTAATTCTTACAGTATGGCCCAGTTAAAGCAATACTAAAGAACTTTTGTCTTTGGTTGAAACCTTGGCTTTTCCAGTTGACAAAAGCATTTTTTTTTAACATTGCTGTTTTAGTAGTTAATATGTGTTTTTTGCCACTTTCTCACCATGAGGTAACATGGATGTCCTTCAGGAGGCTGGTGAAGCGGTCTGTCAAAGGGACGCACAGCGGCCCCAACAAGTTGTCCCAGCTGGGCTGCATGTACTCACTGGCCCTGCGCTGTGCGTCGCTCTCACAGCACATATACTCATGGTTAGGAGTCACAATGTAGGGGATGAAGTAGTAATTACCACTGGAAGCCTGGAGGGGGAGAATGGGTGATGTTTAAAGATCAGAAAGAAATCATGGACTAATTACCAGCTTTTGTAAGCCTGCAAATGCAGATTTAATAGAGCAGCAGTGCAGGTAGGCACACATGCAGGATACAGGGGGCAGATGTAAATGGACTCCCAGGTGGGGAAACAATAGATGGAGTGGAGATTAGAGGGTAGTTAATGAGGAGAGTGAGTAAAAGCAAAGGATCAGAGCAACCAATGAGGCTGTTTGGCAACATCGTGACATTTGAAGCAGGTGCTGTGAAAAATAGACAAATGATGGTCACAAAAGATCCCAAAAATCACTAAAACACCCCAACACAGACACCAAGTTCAATACAACAGAACCTCTAAAAAAGTCCCAGTTGAAATTCCCTGACTCAAAAGTTTTTATTTTAAAAACACAAGATATCCCACACTGTATTGGACAAGTAGCTTCATATCACACCTATTATCTAACCAACACAGTACTTCTACGTACATAATTGAAATAGTGCAATTAACATTAACATTAGTAATAAAAGCTGCAGAAACAAATATTTTTTATCTTTATAGAGTGGTCACAGCGCAGCATTCCTGCAGCATTCCTCTTGTGAAGCTTTACGATTCATGCAAAGTCAGGCTTCAGCTTCAGCTCCTAATTGATAAACACTTAGAATCTGAGGTGTTTTCATTTTTCGCCTATTTGACACCATTTAGAATGTATTTTCTATGCTCATTGATTTCATTTCATGCAGAATTATCTTTCTGTTTCTTCCATGTTGTCTTCATAGAGAGTACACCTAGTTCAACACTGTTTTTTTTTTTTTTTTTGGTGTGTGATCGTATTGCTCATATCCAACAAAGAACTGTTGCTGTCATTAATTCTGTGTACCTGATTATGTTTTTATGGAAGGTACACCTGGGTCATTGCACCTGCGTTTTCCATGTATTTTGTCTAAAAAAAAAACTCATTGGAGCTGCTGTTGTCATTTAACAGAAAAAGTATCTTAGAACATACAGCCGACTCTGTTATTCTGTATATAAGCCTTTCAGGAAAAGGGAATATGTGAGTTTGTCTGTAATTGGAAAAGATTTGAATTAAACCAAATTTGATACAAGATCCTGCTTGAGTTCTTTCTTTTGTTTTTCTGCAAGAAAGACAAAAAAGTCACATTTTGATCCTAAGGGCCAGACAGCCTGTCTTTTTGAGGACAGACTGTCTGGGATTGAATAAAACATAAGTTCATTGAAATGGACTGAAATCAATTCATTTTATGAAAAAATGTAAACAAAATTAAGCCTTTATGCCATTTGGAAGAAGACTGTACCCAAGAATTTGAATTATTCTTGCTCTGTGAAATAAATCAAATCGGTTGCTATAAAAATGTCAATAAAAGACAATCTGACATCTGGTATCGAATGGCTGGTATTATTTAAAGTCATGGTAACATAACTACATCTGACATTGGAGCCATTAATCTTCACATGTCCAATGTTGCTGCCCAAAGCGGCACGAACAAAAGCATGACTTATAAACGTGCCCGTCCTGCTCTATACCGAGAGGGACTTACTGTACAGCCCCTTTCAAATCATAGGTCCATAATAAACACAGACCTTCCCATCCAGAATGCATAACCTTTTCCCTCCACTTACAGAGCATCTGCTGTCTGCTTTCAGATAGCATAGCTGTGATGATAGGCAAAAAATAAAAATGCATTAAACAGAGCAACATGTATAAGTAAGGGAAGTAACCTTGTCTCTGGCTGAACTCTGTGTTGAGATCCTGTAGACTTTTAACAGGCATTGTTGGACTTTATTAATGGATGGGACAAAGCGTGCCAGGGACTTGGAAGATGTAAAGTAGTCCAATGACCATGAATCAAATCTGGGACAGCTGTGCATACTGTAGGACTTGAGCCTGTGCATGTGCTGCATGCAGAGGCTAAACCACAATGCAACCACTGAACCACTTGAGAGGCATATATCTATAGACTGTAAGTACGGTGGTTCAGAGGTTTAGGCAGACAATGGTTTCTTCAATTTCTTCTTTTTTTTGGTGGGGGGGTTGTTTTTTTTCTTATTTTTTCCCTACTTTTCAAATTGTAGCCATAGTTATATAATCATAGTTGGAAGCCAAAAGCTTTTTCAAGAGGCCACTTGATACAAAATAAGCACAAAAAGAAAAAGATATAGCTGAAAGAAACTGCTACGTTTTTTTTCTTTGGATGTGGATTGTGGTTACTTTGGTATAGTGCTTAGCCACTATAATTGACAATTGTGATGAAGTTTATATATGGAAAACAAACTGTCTAAAACATTTAGATTTAGCCCAGTGCCCGTTGTGATACCGTCATCCATTCACTTTAACTTATGACAAGCCTTGGAAACTTGGAAACACCTTCCCTTGAGCCACTTGGCGCCAATCGTGCAAAGTTACAAACTTAAGATGGACCACTGCAAGTGACACTATAGCAGGGAGCTACAGATGTGAGTCCCACACACTAGTGTTGTGGTACCTGGGGTGTTCTTGGAAGCGAAAACTCCAATTATAAACAGTTTCTTCTGGCAAAGTTTGCTTCCAACTTTCTCATGATGCTCCTGACCCTTCTCTCTAAAGGCCTGATCCTGAATGGAGTTTTATCAATTTGCAAACTTAAAGGTATAGTGGAGGATATTCTTTTTGTGGTTGGATCATCAAAATAAGTGGTCTTGCTTATTGTCAATCATCCTGGTGATATGTTTACATAAGGCCGTCCTACGTGCTCGTCCCTATCTTCACTTACCGGTGGTGAGTCTGGAAAAATTGCAAATCTTCTTTTGGAAAGTAAGCTTGTATGAGCGGTGCAAACAGCAACTTTTAAACATACCGTGCACAAGGAGAAATGGGCTCCTGCATGCCCTCGCATTTGCATGAGCAATAGAGAGGGCAGCTTCACTATATCTTTGAAGAACTTTCAACAAAGTCAAAATCTCCTTCACCAAACCGTTGTTTTGCATTCAACTTGTTAAGCACTTTTTCTATTAGTAGTGTCTGCATTTTAAGGCATTCTCACTGCATGCTTCAGTGCAGACATGGCACTGTACCTACTTTATTTCTCAGTCCAGAGCCTCTGTATTCTGGAGGCAGCTGAATCCAAGGGAAGCCTAAGGCTGGAGGACGGCTGGCCTACTCCACACAAGCAAGCAGAGAATGACAGGAAAATAAACACCAAGTTCTGGGAAAGCCTGCAGTTAAAAATCTGTCAGGATTCTGAAGGTGTGTGTGTGGGAGGGAGAAAGAGAGTTCCACAAAGGAAAAGCACGTGGACATGCATTCCTGAATGCATTTCAGGATCATAGGACTGACAGCAAATGTCCCGGATGCTTTTCCTAGAAATAGCACGGCACATTGTGTGCAGATAGATCACACACAAACATGCAGAAACTTACTGTGTTTTTCTGTGCAACCATGTCCTGCAAAGAAGCCAAAACAAAGAGTAAACAGATCTTCAGAGCATGCTACATTCTAAGATAGGAGAAATAACTGCAGAACAGACAGATCTGTAAATAACCCTCAGGATCACTTTGTTCTGAGGCAGAGTAAAGGAATGGCATCTCTGCACTCCGGTTACGCTCATGGGGGTGTGCACGCGTACCTTCAATGACTGAGCAGTGTCTGGGTCTGTGTCGTGGTACAGGATGACGTTGTTAGCCATGTCAAAGCTCTCTCTCACGCCCAGGTGGTAAAACAGCGAGGGCTGCCGAAACACGTCGCTCATGTCCACGACAGCGATGTCTGGAACGAATGAGTAGCAGATAATTAGAGGGATTCATGTTGCAGAGGGAAATTAATTTCCTTTTTGTATGACTTAACAACCTCTGTCCTCCTTAGACTTGTCTATGACTGTTTGAGTATCTCATGAAAAATGTTTAAAGCTCTCAGGATAGAAAATCTACATACATGAGATCAATTAATTAAACAAAGTATGATTTACTAGCTTCCACAAATACATTTAGCACTAATAATCCTCTTTTATTGATTTTTCTAATAGTCTGATTTTCTTCTGAATGTTAAATCTATGAATAAATTGGATTGTGATCCTTTGGTTTACCCTGATCGGAATGAATCTCAGCTTACAAACAAATGATCTTATATTTTCTGCTAATTTTTATTAATATTTGTGGGAACTCGTCATCCTCCTTAGCTTTTAAACCACATGACGAAGTGAGCAGGATCCTTCCTGGAGCAGGTGTTTGATTCTGATTCCAGGAAACAATGTTAAACACAAACGCCGGCAGCGTAACAAATGAATGAAAAGAATGAGAAAAGGGGGCAAGAGCAGACATGCAAACATGCCTGCATCACGTAGAGGCAAAGATTACCGAAATAAAGTCTGATAACAACAGCCACATGTACAATTAACCTAGAAATTATTCATAATACTTTTGATTTCCATTATAAAGTTTTTAAATTAAACCAATCAGTTGTTTTTTTCTTATATGAAATGAAGCAGCAATCTTTCAGATGCTTATAAAACAAAGTACAATACCTATAATTCCATTTCATGAAAAGGTGCAGATTATACATCATTTATCAGGATTACGATTATCCTGGATTACAGTAATCTAATCCTTTTTATAATAGAGTAGGAGTAGGTGTGTTTTTTGCATTTCAACTGATTTCTTTTTATAATTACCTTACGAAGATAAATTCTGAGCCTTTAATAAGGGAAGGACTTCTTGCTATTTCTTTAATCTTCAGCTCCCTGCACAGAATCTCAAATCATCAATCTCAAATTGAGATAATTGTTTGTCTTCTATGTAAATACACTCTCTAGCCAAAAAAAAAAAAAAAAAAAAAAACAGTTTCCACCTGGATTTAACTAAGTAAATGGGTACGGGCTCCCATTGGATAATTACTTTATGGGCAATTATGATTCAGTTCCCCAACTGGTGCAATGAGTTGATTCTCATTTCTTAAACAAACATGTAAAACCTTTGGTTGTGGAAATTAAATCAGCCTGTTTTAGAAAGGGTCAAATTGCTGACTTTTATCAAGGAGAGGAAACATCTAAGGAGATTGCAGAAAATATTTAAAATTTGTTAAAAACTGTACAACATAATATAAAAAAATGGAAGGATAGTTATGACCCATTGTCTTCGGGGGAAAATGTGGCTGGAAAAAGCCCTAAATGAATGTGATCAGTGATCACTTAAAAATTTGGTGGAATTAAAATTGAAGAAAAACACCAATTTAACCCTGGGCTATGTTTAATGGTGAGCGAAAAAACATTCCACATTCCGAATGCGAACAGATTAGAACTGAAAAGCTGTTTCTTAAGAAAACCAGATAGGCCAATCCAAAAGAAGGCTTCAGTTTACTAGGGAGGATAAAGATTGGATTCTGGAGCAACCAGAACCAGTTCCAGAGTGATGGCCTCATCAGGGTAAGAAGATCCTATGACCTGGTGTTGCTATAGATGCTCAATTCTAGGTTCAGTAGCAGTTTCGGCTAAAAGGGTGAGATCAGCCAACTACCTATAAAAATACTAAATGACCAGCCTATTTCCATCAATGGATTTTTTTTCTAATGATGCTGGCATATTCCAAGACGACTATGTCAAGATTCAAAGATTGGCCGCCACCAGAGTCCAGTTAATAAACCTATTGAGAATCTTCAGAGTGTGCAGGATTAGGCTTTCAATCAGACTCTGACATTAATGCAAGATCTTGTTAAAACAAAACAAAAAAATCAACCCTGGTTGGAAATAAATCTTGTATTGCAGAAGCTTATTGAATCAATGGTACAATTAATGTGTACCATAATCAAAGTTAAAGTCTATCTAACAAATCATTAGTGTATGTGATCTTACGCCTGGCAGTGTATTACTTCCATTCAATAGAACCATGTCTGTAAAATTAAGCTTCATTTATTGATTTATTTCGGGTTTTACAGTATAAATTACTGTTAAACCAGATCATACATGTCCGCTTTCTTTAAACACAAAGCTATTAACCAGCTATTGTTCCGGTTTAAAAATACACAACAAATTATTAAAAAAAAGAAGAAAAAAAAAGATAAGGAATATAACTAACTTTACAAAACTGCCATTAACATGTTGACTACAAAAGGAGTAATCCATTAGATTAGACATGTAAAGCTTAATACCAAACAACCATTATTATGCACGGTGACCTTACTGCATATCCCATAATGCAATACAAGAACTACAAGAGGCTCAAAATATAGGTGCAGATTGGGGCAGCTCTTGAGAGCATACAGTAAGGGGACGTTGTGTTGTTAAATTTCTAAATAAAGCATTCACCCGTTCATGAGCCTGTTAGTAAAAAAAAAACTCTCAATTACCAACCTGTTCTTCTTCACAGCTTAGTGTTCTGCACACTAAAAAAACGAGGAATAAAAGTGGGATCATATCGGTCACTACTCAAAGCTGCAATATCTGTTTCCTATCGGAAGTGAACAGGTTTTATTGGGATATTCCTACTCTGTGAAAAGCAGGACACTCATTTCTGAGGACCTGGATTATAAATGGATGATAATTTAGGCATCCTTCCACCAGGACAACCAGACTTCTTAAATGTCTTACATAATCTTATCTGTAAATTCTAAAAGTATAATTTTTTCCCATCTATTTACATTAAAGGGTAAGCTTTTTTTCCCTCCTTTATTTATCCTAATTTCTTCATGCTAAAATATTTTAAATAGTTGTTTTTTGTGTGTTTTAAATTTAAAAGACACCTTTTAACTCTGAACTTGAAACTACCTTTTCAGGTCTTTAAATAGTTGTATTCTAAAACAGTTTTTATGTAAGGATCTCCCAAGGCCCCTTTATTTGTAAAATTAAATTTAGAGGGGAAAAACAAGTGTACCATACTTTGAGCTGAATAACTGAAATCTAACCAAAGATCAAGGTCAGCCATGACTCGCAGATCTGCTCTGGCTTCATGATGGTTTTAGCAAATAATGGCGCCTTTTTTACTGTGTATCAGAAAAAATGTCTGGGTGGTTGATGATGTCAACCATAACAAGCCCTGACAAGTTAAAATCTGGCATAAAAATAAAACCATCTTTTCCCATCACCGTCTTTCTTAAACCTCCATATTGTGTTTCTTTTCAGCTCCATTTGCAAGGATTTATCCGATTACTGTCAGTCCCCAGGGTCTGTGTAGCGAAACCTTGTAACTATGCCCATGCTGTCTGCATCAAAGGTGTGGACAGTATCACAGGGTATAAATAGCTGCTAATTAAAGACAGTCAGGAGCAGCTCTGATTTCACTGACTTGATCTTTGCAGGAGGGGTAGGTCTCACTTTTTTATAATCAAGACATGAAGCAGAATCAAATGAATGAAAGCGAGAACACAGAATTTAGTCTAAATAATGGCAGCAGAATCAGTAGCATCGCTTGGATCTGGGAATATACAGGAAATATTTATCATATTACTGACACAAATCAAGCAATTTCTGAAGACATCTACTGAAAAGGATCTGGCTTATGCATACTTGTAAATATTTGCATGAAAATGTGCAATTATAGGTTTTATATAAAACCACAGGAGTTGGAGGGCCCATTTCTTTTCCAGTGACCTTAAATTGGAAACTATCTATATAATAAACTTAGTTGAGTTGAGATCATACAGCTTCAGTGTTTTCTCTGTTTTATTCTTTTAAAAACAGGCTGTTAAAATTAATTTACAGCTTCTCTACCTGGATAATAAAAAAAATTAACATGCTCATTACCCTAGAGTTATGACTTACTGCTTCTGAATGGCAGTACTTGGATTTATGTATGAATGAGAGGATGGTAAATATTTAACTTTTTAATATGGTCTGGGGAAAACAAACATTGCTCCATACTTCCCTTTCTTCTCCAGATCATGAACTTGTTTAAATTACCAAACTTCCAGTTTCTAGAGCGCTGACCTCTGTTGCTTGGCTGTTTAAAAGTTTTTCATGAGAAAAGAACAATAATTCAGAGCTGAAACCTGAGTTTTCTAACCACACAAGTTTAATTAAACTTTGGTTTGAATTACTTTAAGATAAAACAGGGAAAACAGACGCTCTGATTATTTTGATTAGTTTCGTTTTGCAGTCAGACAGATGTGTTCATGTAGAGGAGCCAAACTAATAGCAGGAAACCCACCTGCATCATAGAAGCTGTCCAGAACCGCAGTCTCTCCAAAGTCCAGGCGTCCGAAGGTGACGGTGGTGAGCAGCGCGCTCTCTGCGTCGCAGGCTCTCTGCAGACACTGCAGCGCTCCGGACTCCGGGCTGCTCGCCATCACCGACTTCAAGCCGTCGTTCAGGACGTAAACCACCCGCAGGGAGCGCTGCTTGGCCGGCGGACTGGGACTGGACACCTCCCCGCGCTCCGACGCGCACATCCCGGCTGAGTGCTCCCCCACCATATCTGCGCTCTGCGCGCTCTGCCCCTGATCCATGGCGCAACGCTGGGAAGTGACCCTGCTGTTTACTTCCTCTCCTCTCCGCCCTCTCTGAGCCGCTCTGTCCCGTCCTCTGCAGGCTCACCAGTGGGGCACCTGTCCTGGCTGCGGAGGAGCGGCTCTGGGGTTGTCCTCTTGCATCTCCGCCTCATTAAATCACACCGATTATTTCGCACCAGGACGCCCGCTTCGAGCAGACTGGATCCGACCAGATGAGAAAGAGTAAAGGGGGGAGTCTGATTAACTCATGCAGAAGTTTAATTGTTATCTTGGCGGGCAGGTTTATCCGGTTTAAGGTTCCCAGAGTGGGAGGCTGCTGTCAGAGGGCTGCTTGCCAACTCTGAAATGTTATCACTCCTCTGGCTGTCTAAATTTATAACTGTGTCCTTCTGGACTAGTCACACAGCCAGGGGCGCTTCTTGCATCAATATTACCCTGGGACAAACATGTCCCTAACCTGCCCCCTTCACAAACAACTAAACACTGCTAAAAA